CAGCCCTCAACAGTACAGTCCTAAGCTTTAAAATTCCCACCAGTGTAAACGTACTCCAATCAGGTAGGGGTGTAGCTCAGTGGTTCTGCACATGTGCAAAACCCTGGATTCAATTCAGGCATCACCTGTGTTCATACGTGTGCGCATGCATCCTAAATTCTTGTCAGGTACAAAAATAGTCCTGAACTGGGACTGGTACTGGGGAGTAACCAGAGCCTGGAAAGCAGGCTCACCCTTTCAGCCCTCATCGGCCGAGCCATCATCAGGCAGTGTGAGGACCCCTCTCTCTGGGGCAGACTGACAATGCTTTTATCTGCTCCTCTTCCACTGTCCTTTCAGAAGAACCCAGAAGCTGAAGACCCAGTTCCTTTGTACGAGTAGAGAGGCCTGGCCACATTGTTACTGTAGGGAAGCAAAGTCAGAAGCCACTCCACCTGGCTCAGACGCTAGCTAGCTCTGAGGCCCCAGACAAGTGCCTTGACTCCTCTGGGCTGTTTCCCAGGCTACCAAGCGAGAGCACAGCCATGTGTTTGCCAGCACCTGACAAGGACTATGGGAGATGATATATATACTTTAGCATAATCCTGGCCCGGAACACCTGACTATGTAATTCTCCCAGTGTCCAATTCAAAACCTCTCTATTGTTTTGCAGAAGTCTCCACCCTGTGGCTCCACCCATTCAGGATCCACTCTTCCCAGCCCCCTCCTGCCTTACCTGTCTGGAGCTTGTTTGAGACAATGAATCACAGCACAACTCTGCAGTTCCCATCAATCACCTCCCTGTCCCTGCCTCTGTGTGTCATTTCTGGGCTACTCCTGGGAGGGAAATGCTTTTCCTAATGCCCAGTACATCATTCAACAAGTATTTATGAAAGGCCAACTGTATATTAGTCTTACATGGGCTTAGCAATGGGCAAAGCAAATAAGCAATAAATAAATCAATAATAAATAGATTGGAAGGGGAAAATCCATACGGAGCCAAGCTCTCTGCCCCACTAAACAGACATTCTAGCAGATCTAAACCCTGAATGGAGATCAGCTAGCTGAGGCCCTTGCTTCTGTCCCCATTCTTCCCCTCCGGCCAACCCTAAATAAACCACGCACAAGCACAAAGTATGAAGAAAGTATTCCAGATCAAAACCCAGTAATTTAGGGACATCCCGGTGACTAAACTCCCACCCCGCTGAACTGCTACGGCTTTAAAGAGGTTGGTGTTAAAATAGCAAGCTCCCCTGATAACTGCCCTGGCCTGCCCAGTCCCCCAGAGCAGCAAGGACGGCAGACCTAGAAAATAAGGCCGTGTTGCCCTGGCCTGCACAGGCACTACAAGCCCCTGGTTGGCGCCACGTCTTCATCGCCACGTTCTTTGAAGGATGTGCGGCCGGGAAGCCATAGCAGCAGTCAAGGTAGAGGCCTTGTGGGAAGTGCTGGGAACAGATCCCGGGCTCCCCGCTATTAACTGTTAGGTCAATGGGCTGCTTCCTGTCTTGGATGTTTTTAAGCAGTCTCTAAGATTTTCTAGCTTTGAAGTCAAAGCAATGGTTCGACCATCTTTACCAGAGACCTAGCATAGGTGGGATCCTTCCCTTCTGCAAACTGAGTGAGCTTGCATGGGGCCAAGCCCTGGTAAGGCGTGAGGGACCTGTGGGTGACTGCAGCAAAGGAGGAACCTGCACCAAACCAGTGTGTGGGGAGTGGTGGCCCCCTCACCTGTTTCCTCTGAAAAGCAATAGATGCCTCCTTTTAGATTTCTACTATTCCGTGGTTCTCAACCTGCCTAAGGCTGCGACCCTTTAATGCAGTGTCTCATGCTGTGGTGACCCCCAGCCATAAAATTATTTCATTGTTACTTCACAATTGTAATTTGACCACTGTTAAGAATCAGGCAGGGGCCGGGCGAGGGTGGCGCAGGCCTTTAATCCCAGCACTCAGGAGGCAGAGGCAGGTGGATCTCTGTGAGTTCGAAACCAGCCTGGTCTACAAGAGCTAGTTCCAGGACAGGCTCCAAAAGCCACAGAGAAACCCTGTCCCGAAAAACCAAAAAAATTAAAAATTATAAAAAAAAAAAAGAAAAGAGAAAAGAATCAGGCAGGGCAGTGGTGGCACACGTCTTTAATCCCAGCACTCGGGAGGCAGAGGCAGGCAGATCTTCATGAGTTCAATACCAGCCTGGTCTACAAAAGCTAGTTCCTTCCAGGATAGATAAGGCTATTTCACAGAGAAACCCTGTCTCAAAAAAAAAAAAAAAAAAAGAATTCTAATATAGGTCAGGCAAGGGTGGCACAGGCACATGCCTTTAATCCCAGCACTCAGTGGGCAAACAAGATGTCTGTGAGTTCGTAGCAGCCTGGTCTACACAGTTAGTTCCAGGGCAGCTAGGACTGTTACACTGAGAAAACTCTGTCTCGAAAAACCAATAAATAAAAATAAAAAAGAATCATAATGTAAAATATATGATATGCAACCCCCAAAGGGGTTAGTTACCCACAGGTAACTTATACCCTTCTAGAAACAAGCCATGCCAGAGCCAGGCGTGATGGCACATGCCTATAGTCTCAGCACTTGGGAGAGACAGGAAGATCACCAGTTCAAGGCCAGTCTGGACTCAGTAGTGAGATTCAGTCTCAAAAGAGAAGGAAATAGTCGTTAGCTGCTTCCCAAGATCAGCCTTACTAGAGAGGTTTCTAGGCCACAAGGCAAACCAGAAGCTATGCAAACTCTCTGGTGATCCCCATTACTCTTTCCTCCAACCCAAAAGATATTCTAGACCTTGTCAGAGATCCTAAAATAAAATGCCTCATTGTGACAGAAGAGCACAAAATAGATGCCTCATACACCATGGGCCCAAGGGTCAGCTCAGAACAGCTTGAAGAAGACACGCCAGGCAACAGAGAAGTCAGTCTGTCCCTGTGAAACTCACAGAACTCTTGGCACATGGTCATGTAGGAAACCAGACCAGACTAGAGGAACCAGATAGGATCCACCTGTCCATTTCCCCCTACCCCAAGCTCTATCCAGTGCCCTCAGGCAGCAAAGCCAGCTCCACAAGGTGGCTGGAGCTAGGAGCTGTCAATTCAAGGTTGTGCTCCAAGAACAGCAGGTGCCTGGCACGGGGTTAGGGTGTGGGATGAGAGGGGAGCAGACCAAAACACAGAGCAAGCTCTCAAAGGTAAGTTTGCTTTGAAACAAGTGAAAAAGCGATGGTCACACGACCTCTCAAAATAAAAACCAGACAGGCCCATCAGCTTTGATAACAATACACTTTCTTAAATCTAAAGACGGTGAAGGACCGGACCTTTTCCCCCTTTCCCACACCAGCTCCCTGAACCTTTGAAGAGCCCTAGTAAGGTGATACAAGCCCTCCCCCGCCCCCTGTTCCCACACACCAGCTCTTCTCTTTGGCAGACATGAACTTTGACTGCTTTTACTTACACACGCACAAAAGGCAAGGCTGAGAGGGCAGCGTCAAAGCTGGCTGGATGACCCCCAACAGCACAAAGTCCTCCTCCCACCTGTGAGGGAGTTTTGTGAGCTTCCGAGGTACCCACAGGGACTAGTTACGGCTTCAGGTGGACAGTGGCGGACAGTTTCCATTGTAAACGGAAAGAAAGACGCCCAGGGTGCCCTTCGAAGATAGGGCACTGGGCCCGCGGGTCAAGTGTCCCCTCACTGGCAGGCTGGCCGCTAAGACCGTAGAGGAACTCCGCAGTGTCCGGGTGAAAACACACCCAGGCTACTGCATGGCCTGGCCGGAACCATCTCGCAGGGCGTAGAGATACATTAATGACCGTTTTGGATTAGTTAAAGTCCACACAAGCACCTCCCTGGCCTCTTAAATCTTCCCAAACTACAGTTTAGACTGGAGGGAAGCAGTGGCAGGGACCATAAAAGTCATCTTAAAAGGCAAGTAAAGAGAGAGAGAGAGAGAGAGAGAGAGAGAGAGAGAGAGAGAGAGAGAGAGAGAGAGAGAGAGAGAGAGAGAGAACAAGAAAACCAACAACCCCGCTACGCACGAGTTAGCAAGTCCGCAGCTCGGGGTGGTGGTAACACCGAGGCCGGTTCAGTGGGGTCTGAGAGTCGGGGAAGGAAGACCACCGAATTCGGGGGGCTCCTCGACCTGACGCCGACGATCACGCCCCACAGCTCCGTCCAATTAGGAAAATGACCGCGAGGAGAGGGAGAGGGGGCGGTGAGGAAGGAAGAACGAGCCACGGGAGGCTCTAGACCAGCCATGGGGATCTGCCCACCCTTTCCCAGCACCGGGCGAGCGCCTTCAACAGGTCCGAGCCGGGGCTACGGAGGGGGACCTGGGGCCCGCGGCACCCGGCTGGAGACCCCCGTTGACCTCGAGGGGCGCCGGGCACCCCAGCAGCGCGCTGCGCCCTTGCCACCCCACTGGCTCGGCCGCGCGGCCACCCCACCCGCTCCCGGAGTAAAAAGTTTGTGGGCAGCCGCAGGGGCGGGGCGGCGAGGGGTGAAACTTTGGGTCCCGGGCCGGGTGCGGGGGGGAGCGTCCTCGAGCGCCGCGACACCCACGTGCGGGCCGAAGACCGCCGCCGCCTCCCCGGCCTCCCGCGCCGCCGCCGCGCTTTCCTTTCATTTTGCCTCTCTCTGCCTCTGCTTCTCTCTCTCTCTCTCTCTCTCTCTCTCTCTCTCTCTCTCTCTCTCTCTCTCTCTCTCTCTCTTCCCCTTCGCGCGCTCTCCTCCCTCTCTCCCTCTCTCTCCTTCCCTTCCCCCCTCTCTCCCTCCCCCCAGACGCCATCTCTCCCTCTTTCCCCAGCTCTCCCTCTCTCGCTCCAGCTCTCCGGCATGAGGGAATGTGGAAGTGAAAGGAAAAGACGACATGTTTGCAGCGCGGCTGCGGGCCTGCGCGCCGCCGTCCCCGGGGAGAGGCGGGGGGCGGGTCGACCGCGGCCGCAGCGACCCACCCCCGCGCCCCCAGCCACCCCGCCGCGGGCCGCCGGGGGTTGGCGGGGCCGTGGGCCGCGCGGGACACTCACCCTGGGTCCGGGCGCGGCTCCTGGCGCTGGGGGCCCTCGGCTGGCCGGGCCGGGCGGGCCGGGGGCTCCTGCTGCCCACCGCCCGGGTTGCTGCTGCGCGCCGCCTCCACGCGCGCCCGCCCTGCTCTGCCACCCTCCCTCCGGCTCCTCTCTTTCTCTCTCCCCCTCTCTCTCTCTCCCTCCTGCTCTCTCTCGCGCTCGCTCGCGCTCTCTCCCTCCCTGGAAGAAGGGAATGAGGCAGGGCTGACGTGAAGGGATGCTAAACAGCTCCTCCTAAGCCAGCTCGCAGAGGAAGAGAGACAGAAAAGCAGCCCTTTTATCTCTCTTTTGTTTTCTCACTTCCTTCCACCCCCCCAGCACCCCCCTCTTGTCGGCCCAAGTTTTCTTTTTCTCTTTCTACCGCAGAGAGGATTTTTCTTCTTTTCTTTCGGTGCAACTCTGCTACTCGAATTGCAAGCCTGGAGGCTTCTCTTTTTTTTTCTTCCCCTTTCCTCTTTTCTTCCTCCTTCCTCCTTTCTTATTTCTCTAAAAGGGTTTTGTTTGCTGTGGGAGTTTCGTTTGAAAATCGAGTCACGCCTTTTTCCTTCTTTTCTTTCTCCCTCTCCCTCTTTTTTTCCCCTCCTCTCAGCAGAAAAGGGGAACAAAGATTAACAAGCGGGGGAGAAGGGAGCGTCAGAACCGCGAATGGAAATGGGGGGCTGTCCCTGCCAGGCACAAAGGGGGCCCGAGAGGACAGCCCCCCCCAGGAAGCCTGGGGTGTCCTATCCCAAAGAAGAGCCTCTGGGATGGGAGTCCGGGGGAGTCCCTAGGAGCCCCGTCCTTCCGAAATGCGGGTAGGGGCTCTGAGTCCGCCCCCTCCCCAGCCAGGGGTGAAAGCTGGGGGCGGGGGGGGGTGCTCTTCACTTAATATATTTTTTAAGTGGGCAGATGGGCTTGAAGCAAACGTAGCCGCAGAGCCCTGAACAGTAAAGCGCCTTTAAACAGCTGTTTAGAGCCCTGGACGGTCAGACTCGAGGGAACGGCTCCGGCTGCGATCGCTGGGACCCGGGTGCGAAGGGGTTCAGAGGAGTTCAGTCCCTCGCGGCCTTCCCAAGTCCATGGCCTGGGTTCGGTCCCGGGGTGCACGGCTGGGGGCGCCGAGGCGTGGTCGTTAGCTGAGGTCTGGGCCCTTGTGGCTCCCTGCAGGGCCCGGGGTTCAGCAGAGCCTGGCCTCCTCCCAGCTCTGGGACAGGCCGGACACCCCGCCTCCAACCTCCCGGACACCCGCCACTCAGCTGCGCCGCTCGACTCCGACGCAGGGCGGGTACCGAGCCCGCGGACAGAGCCGGGCAGTGTCGCCACCAAGGGTCAATTATTCATGGGGCGCCTGGGCGTGCTCCCAAGACCAGCTCTGTCCTCGGCTTCTCCGGAGGAGTGGAGACAACACGGGGGAAAAGTTCCCAGAGCAAAGTTGGCCACATTTCTTATTTTCCCAAGTAAGTATTGAGCACCTGCTGGATGCCTGACCCTTGGACTGGGGCAGAAGCTGGGCGAGAAACTTGAGGTCTCGGCGGGCCCAGACAAAGCGAGGGAAGCTGCGGCTCCGGACCAGGTCACCGAGCCGAAGAGAAGCCTGGATCCTCTCCCCTCCCTGCGCTCTTCCTTTCCCTTCCCTCCTTCCTCCGGGCTGCATCTCCTTGGCTCCACCCCTTCTCATCAATTCCTCCCACACTTCCCTGCTCTCCCTGGCTTTTCACTGGAGGGTCCCTTCTCCCTGCTAGGAGCAGACGCTGAGCCCCATTGTCTCCCCCCCCCCCCCCCCATGACTGCAGCCTCCTAGGGATAGGACCAGCCACTCCTTCCCCTCCCCCCCAGCCCAAAGGCCTGGGCCTTTGCTGACAGGAGCCCCAAGGCCACTGCCCCTCGCCCCACCCTACACCGGCTCACGGAGCTGTGAGCAATGACTCCAGTCACTCAGAACATGATTTATTTCTGGCAAGGAGTGAGAAAACAGAAGCCAAAGAGTTGGTTCAGCAAGAACGACCCCATGATTTCAGGCTCAGCACACTGGGGCCTCTCTCGTGACCCCAGCGACTTCCCAGTACACCCTTGCAGTGGGGAATGCCACAGTTCTGTCATTACCTGACCCTTTTCAAAATACCCAAGCCATAGCCTCCAAAAAAAGAGACAAAGTCATCTCTAAGAGTCGAGTATTCGTTCATTCAACTACATCTGCTATGTACCTGCTTAGTGCCAACCCCTCAGCCCGGTCCTAAAGACTTAACCACCAGCCATTCCGGATCCTTGTTCTCTGTCTTTGCAAACTCGTAGAGGAGCAAAAGGGAGCTGGGCCTCAGAGCCAGGCATCATGGTGCATGCTTGTAATCCCAGCACTTGGGAAACTGAGGCAGGAGGATTGTCAGGAGTTTAAGGCCAGCGTAGGCTACGTTCTAAATGCCGGGACCGTTAGAGCAAGACCTTGTGTCAGCAAAACTAAAAAGGGAGAGGCACAGTTGTCCTGATTATAACCTCAGAGTCTGGAAGGTCAGAAGTTTAAGGCTGGCTACAGGAGACCCCTTCTCAAAAAAAAAAAAAAAAAAAAAAAGCTTGGGGATGGGGGTGGGAACAACAGACAATTTGAGTGCAGCCTGAGGAAACACCTTAGAGGTGAGGGTGGTCGGTGGGGCTTCCTGAAGGTCACAGCTAGATAAGTGGGGCTGTGCCAGTCAAAAGCACAGGAGGGAGCCGGGTGTGGTGACACCAGGCCTTTAATCTCAGCACTTGGGTGGCAGAGGCAGGCAGACCCTGTCTCAAAACCACCACCACCACAATAACCAAAAAAAAAAGTGGGAGGGAACAATTTGCCTGCAGGACAGAAAGAAAAAAAAAGACATTCTAAATTCTAGAAACTGTTGAGTTTGAGTTATAGCAGCCAGGCCTGGTGATAATGCTTTAATCCCATCACTGGGGACACAGAGGAAGAAGCAGGTGGATCTCTGTGACTTTGAGGCAGCCTGGTCTACATAATGAGTTACAAGCCGGGCACGATTATATAGAGGGGAAAAAAAAAAAAAAGAGAGAAGAATTCAAGTACTTGCAGCACTATAGAGTGTATGTTGGGGAATGAGGATGGTTGTGAGTGCAGTGGAGGACAGGATTAGTTTCAGGGAAATGTTCAAAGTCTATTCCATTTTACTTGCCAGCTTCCTCAACTTACATGATTAATATACTCAGTAAATAATGTAGCCCCAGTTTCCTGCCTTGTAAAAATGGAGGTAACTGAAGACAGGCAGGACGACTGTATGGACCTTTAACCACCTGTAACCCCGACACTCTGAGACGGAATCAGGTGGATCTTGTGAGTTTGAGGCCAACCTGGACGGCACAGAAAGTTCCTGTTTAAAAAGAGAGAAAATCAAAAATAAGTAGCTGTACGTTCTAGCTACTTGGGAGATTGAGGCAGAAGAATCAAGATTTGAAGGCCAGCCTGGGCAACATATGGAAACCATGTCTCAAAATAAAATATAAGAAAGAGGGCCAGGAATATAGCTCAGTGGTAGAGCGCTATATCGTGTGTGTGTGTGTGTGTGTGTGTGTGTTGCCTGTATTGTATTCCCAGAGCTACCAACATAAAAATCTAAGTTCAAGACCAGCTTGGGCTATACATAGTGAGACCTTGTTTCAAAATATTGAAGAGAGGCTATAAAAGTCGGGGGGAGGGGGCTAGTGTCTTATGTTCATGCGCCCAGACTTATGAGACATAGACCTGTGGCTGAGTCAACCACTGATCTTCTCATATATAAGATAGGGAAGCAGGGCTGGAGAGATGGCTCAGTGGTTAAGAGCGCTGACTGCTCTTCCAGAGGATGCAGGTTCAGTTCCCAGCACCCACATGGCAGCTAACAACCGTCTGAAACTCCAGTTTTAGGGGACCCAACATCCAAGTAAAAAACCACCAACACACATAAAATAAATTAAAAAGAAAATAAGATAGGGAAGCAAATACCTGCTTCCCAGTGTGCAGTGAAACTTAAAAGAGCATACATCTTTTGTGCGATTTGGTGCATATGCACCTGCAATATATGGCAGCTCTTATTCACCTTTGCTATGAAATGAAGGCGTGTCGGGGGGAGGTGTCCTTGCAACCTGGAAATGAGAAGCTGGGTTGAAAATCAGAGTGACTCACAGGCCAAGAGCCAGCTGCTGCAGAAATGTTTCTTCAAAGATGCCTTGTCCCAGTGGGTGGCTGGCAGGGGAACACCCACATTTGATCAAGAGGGCCAGGATGTCATCTCAGGAGCATGACCGGAACTAACTGCGCACAAAGGCCCAGGCTGATTCTTGGCGTTCTAGCCTGCCTGAGGAACCAGTAGGAATCGGAGGAAAATGGGGTCCTGGGAAACCAGCAAAGGTTCCTAGGAGCAGGGCACAAACTGACGGGGTGGGAAGGGGTTGTTGAGTTCTCCAGAGTCCAGTCAAACCTCTGTAAGACTCCTAGCCCTCTGCAAGGGCTCTCCAGGTACACTGCAGATGAACATCACAGCAACAGGATGCCCTGTGGATCCAAGGATCCAGGAGACGCTGTGCATTCCTGTATTGTAGTTATTTTACCACAGTATTGGGAACACAGGGCCTCCTGCATGCCAAGTACACATCTCCAGACTGTCTCTTCCCCCTTGCTTCATGCCCCTCTCTCCCCCCCGAATCTGGGTCTCATAGAGCCCAAGCTGGTTCAAACCTGCTGACCTGACCTTGTATACCAAGTAGGATTCCAGGTGTGCCCAACCCCACACCTGACTTTTTCTTTCTCTTCCCATAGCACAGATACATTGTGACAAAACTGGAAATCACCTGGGAACAGCTGGAGACATTATATATTAGTGTATAGTCGTGGGCATTCCACTTCCTCATATTTACATGTAGAGGCATATAATAAAACTACATAAAATAAGCCAGTAAACACCTTTGATCCCAGCACTTGGGAGGCAGAGGCCAGCCTGGTCTACAGTGCGAGTTCTAGGACAGGCTCCAAAGCTACATAGAGAAAGGCTGTCTCAGAAAACCAAGTAAATAAGTAAAGAAGTAAAAATAATAAATAAATAAATTAAATTAATTAAATAATAATTAAGTAAAGAAGTAAAAATAATAAAAAAATTAATTAAATATTGTTAAATAACTGGCTATGTGTATGTATGTGTATATGTTATATATATGTTAGCCTGATATGGTGGCTCAGCCATTAAGAGGGCTCCCTGCTCTTGGTGAGGATGTATGTTTGATTCCCAGCACCCACATCTAGCAGCTCACAATCACCTGCAACCCCAAACAGAAACAGTGCCAGACCAGGGGGTCTTTACCATAACTAAGCCAGAATTTACAGGTAAGGCTGGGATTTCTTTTTTTTTTTTTTTTTTTTTTTTCCGAGACAGGGTTTCTCTGTGGCTTTGGAGCCTGTCCTGGAACTAGCTCTCTAGACCAGGCTGGTCTTGAACTCACAGAGATCCGCCTGCCTCTGCTTCCCGAGTGCTGGGATTAAAGGCGTGTGCCACCACCGCCTGGCTCTAAGGCTGGGATTTCTGTACCTGGCCTGGTTTATCTCTTTTCGTGGGAGCCAGTGTCCCTCAGGATCTTCTCTGTCTCTGTCTCTCTTCCTCTCAGACAAGGTCTCCTGTAACCCAGGCTGGACTCACACTTGCCGTACATAGCTAAGGGTAACCTTGAAATCCAGTCCACCACCCCCCAATCCTTCCCCTGTCACAATCAGCGCTGTCATTCATCCTCACACTCCCCTGAAAGAACCTGTCTGGGCAGATGCCCCACCTTCTACTCTAACATCTTATTAACTAATTAATGCCATTTCCTGGTTTGGCTAAGACAAAATGGAATGAAACCAGGTAGCTAGCAACAGAAAACACAGGATGCTGTATCTTGCAAACTGCAAAGGCACTTTGGATGTCAGTAGAACCCAGGGAGAGCTCAGCCTCAAGACACTACCATTTAGTCAGATAGCCAAGCAGAAGAGATCTTCCACATTGACACTAGAGAGCCATCAGCTGTTTCTATGGCAGGTGACACACAGCTCTCTTCCAGTGATTCAGAAGCCCAAAAGTCATCCTGAGCTAAAACTTGAAAGTAGGTGGGTTTTTTTTGTTTTGTTTTGTGTGTGTGTGTGTTTGGTTTGGGTTTTTGTTTTTATTTATTTATTTATTTATTTAATTATTTTTTATTTTATTTTTTTTTTCTTTTTCGAGACAGGGTTTCTCTGTAGCTTTGGAGCCTGTCCTGGAACTAGCTCTTGTAGACCAGGCTGGCCTCAAACTGACAGAGATCCACCTGTCTCTGCCTCCCAAGTGTTGGGATTAAAGGTATGTGCCAACTGCCAAAGTAGGTGTGTTCTAAGGTGATGGTGGCACACACACCTTTAATTTCAGTACTTGGGAGGCAGAGGCAGATGGACCTCTGAGTTTGAGGTCAGCCTGGTCTACAGAGCTA